CAGGGTCTTACGTAGTCCAGGCTGGGCTTAATTTTGCTGAGATTATTATATGTGCCACCATACCTTACCAGTAGAGAGTATTCTGGGATAATGTTGATGAACTCTGAAATCTGGAATTGCATTCTTTAGTCCATTAATAAAAAAACAGTCTTCCCTTTTGTTGAATTTTAATCTGTCCTCACTGCATCCTTCCTTAGTTTTTTTCTCTTTGCTTAAGTGTCACACTGAAATTATCTTCCATTCTGCATCCCAGCCCAAAAAAATTACATGGCATTTTTGGATTCTCAGACTACCACATTCAGTCGCCATAAAAAACGCTTGCTGGTTGTTCGAGAGCTCAAGGAACAAGCACAGCAGGTGAATCCTGGTGAGTACTTGTGTGAGGCCCATTGAGACTTGTGGTGTGGGATATTTTCACCACCACTTGTGGTCTTACCTGCTTGATACTGATTTCCTGTTACTGTAACAGAATACCTGAGACTGGGTATTTTGGGAAGAAAAGAGGCTTATTTTGATTCAAGGTTCTGGGTGGAGTTACAAGAGCATGGTGCCCATCTGCTCAGCTTTTTGTGAGGTTCTCATGACAAGAGGCAAGCGGGAGCAGGCCAGAGACAGAGAGGAGCCAGCTCACTTTGGAACAGCCCAGTCTCAGCAACCAATCAGGTTCTGTAAGAACTTACTCCCCATGGAAAACATTAATCCCTCTTGACCTCATCAACTTTTTTTGTTTGTCTTTTTGAGATGGGGTCTTGATGTGCAGTTCAGGCTGGCCTTGAGCTCACTTTGTAGCCCAGGCTGGCCTCGAACTCGCAAGGATCCTAGGATCCTCTTGCCTCAGCCTCCTCATCAACATTCAAAGGTCCTAGTACTTCTCAGCACTATCTCACTGAGGATTTAAGCCGCAACCTGAGCTGTTAAGTGGGGACAAACTATACTCAAACTATAGCATTGTTCCTCCTATGATTTGATTGCTGTGCCATGATAATCTCTGAGACCCTCGGGACTATCTGTATGTGTTGGAGAAGGGCTTGGGGTCAGGACCAAGCATAAATTAGAAGAGCTTTGTCAGATAGTCCCACCTCCTGCCATCCAACCAGAGCAGTGACTACCTCTGTGTTTCACAAAATGAGTTTCTTCACCCGCTGGAGGGGAGGGAAGAGGAAAGAGAGATTTGGTAAGCTGTTGATTTGAAGTAGTAGTAACTGTATTTAATATTATTTCATTTGTCTTGGGATCAACTTTGTAATAATTTTCATCTGTTCTTATATCTTGGTTGACTGTAGTCCACTTAAGGAATTGTTTCCATGTGCCTCTTCTCTTCTAGATGATGAAGTGCCCCATGTTCAAGAGTCAGACCTCTTCTCAGAAACCAGCAGTATTGTGAGTGGAGGTGACATGAGTGGCAGATACTCCCATAGTAACTCCAGGATATCAGCGTACGTATCATATCTGTTCAACACGTTGGTCATCCACTGGTAAGTGGAGAAAGTAGAAGCACGGAGAGGTTGGTTTCTACCAGGATAACACAGTGGCAATGGGGTAGGTATTCCTCAAAGCCGCATGGAACTTGGGCAAGGAATTTCCCAGCAAGCTATGAGATTAGACTTGATGTTACAGTGAGGCCCTTCTCTTGGGTACTCAGTTTATATGACATCTGTTTTTACTGATTGCACAAATGCTGACTATAATGTATAGGCACTGAAAAAAAGTTTTAAAAAAGAATTCAGGCTTCTTCACTTTGAAATCAAGATATAAAGAGATTATAAACATAAAATAAGTCATCACACTTTTGCCTAGTGTAGCAGGTCGTCAGAAGTATTTATTAAATACCCATATGTTGTGAATGCAAGTACAGCAAATGTTACCAAAACTTAAAACTAGATTTTGGGTTCCAAGAGCTTGGGAGACATAAAACAATCCAAGATCATATATTTAAACTGAACTGTGTTGTAGTTTATAATGGAGGTCTGAAGTTTTTGTTAAGGTGATCAGAAACTATAATAAAAGCAGTTAGACTTATACTTTTAAGGTTGGGTTGAGATCCCATTAAACACATAGTAAGATTAAAGATCGCAGAGGGAGGAAAGAATGGGATTAATGTACATTTTATTCATATTTAATCTGGTATGTCTGTATTTCCTTACTTAAATTTTATTGTGTTACCTTAAATTGTACTTGTTGCAAAATTCAAATTGGTTGTTGTGTTCATTGTTCCAGGATATCATTAGGTATAAACTCATTTGATTCTATATTTTAATTAAAATATCAAGGATAAAAATTACACTTGAGGTTTTCCCTATTACTTCCTACTTACAAGATTTACAAAACACACAGGCACACATACATACACATATATACACTCTCTCTTTATGTTATATGCAGCTTTAACATCTCATTACCCCCAGCACCCCATACAAATACTGTTCAGAGACTGCTTTCCCAGAATGTTGGTGGCCAACGATTATTCATTTTTGTCTGCTCAGCATAGAGAAGGCACCTTTGTAAACACTTCTCTAATTTCTGACAGGAGATCATCTAAGAATCGCCGCAAAGCAGAGCGGAAAAAGCATAGCCTCAAAGAAGGGAGTCCGCTGGAGGACCTGGCCCTTTTAGAGGCATTAAATGAAGTGATACAAAGCACTGAAAAATTAAAAGGTGTGTTTTCAATACTGACGATTGACCATAGAAAACACTAAGTGGGCATCATAGATGGGTGGAGTTAAACAGATAAAATTTTTCCAATTTGGTGAAAGAAGGGTTATTTGACTGCACTTTGAAACAGCCCTTCTCAGCTGGTAACCTGGAAGCTCCCTCCACCTGACACCCACCTAACTGAACTGTGAAAAATAGCATTTCAACTAGGATAAAGGATTAGGCAGCACTGTTTTCTGGTTGTTCCCAATGTGTTGTTTTTCCTCTCACAGTAAATGTGTTGAATTACTCCAGTATTTTAAAAGATGAAAATGAGGAAGCAACTGTAAGGTGATAGTAGAAGGTTTTTGCAAGAAAGGAACTATGGCGTGATTCTTCCAGTGGGTCTGGAGACACAGCTTAACCACCACTACCATTTCTTCTCCCTAGATGAAATACACCGTATTTTAAAGGTACTCTTCCTCTTTGAGTTTGATGAGCAAGGCAGGGAGTTGCAGGAGGCCTTTGACGGTACTTTACAGCTGATGGAAAGGTCACTTCCAGAAATTTGGACTCTCACCTACCAGCAGAATCCAGCCATACCCGTAAGTTTTCTCAAAGACAGTGCTGTTTTCTGTCATTTTCTCAGAGAATTGTCTTCACATTTCCTTAAAAATCAAAGCAAAAACGTACTTGTTCTTAAAACATCATTTGCCATGGTTTTAGGTTTATGTTTAAGCCATTAGTAAGATTATTTCATATTTGTCTGTCCAGTGGCTAGTAGAGTTTGGCATAGGTTAAGTAGGGTGTTGTTTTTCCTTTCTAGGTAAAGAAATCTAGACAAGTTGGATATAGGGAAAAATGAAGCCTAAGATGGCTGCACTATGGTTCAGATGTGGGTGTGTGGTTTCCCATGGATAGTACATCCAGAGTCAGTGGAATTCCAGTGCAGGTGCACTTCCCAGTGCCCTGGTGTAAATAACTGATATAACCAAGGTTAATGTACATGACCACTGTTAAGCAGACTTGTATATATATATCTGGACTGCCACAAGGGCTCGTTGGGTGGGTGCCTGAGGACTGCTGCTGTTGCAGAATCTGAGAGCAAACTGAGAGGGAGGCCTGGCACCAAGGTACTTGGAAGGCAACAACTTTATTACGTTGGCGGGCTGGTGGGAATCAGTTCTAATCACCAGCCCTGGCAGAAACTTACATACAGTTTGCAAGCAGGAGGTACAGAAGCTGATAGCAAATTATTCTATAATTAGTTACAGCCAGGTGTGGTGGCGCACACCTGTAATCCCAGCCCTCAGGAGGCTGAGGCAGAAGGATCATTGCAAGTTTGAGACCAGCCTGGGCTACAAAGTGAGCTCAAGGCCAGCCTGAACTGCATAGCGAGACCCTGTCTCAAAAAGACAAAAAACAAAGAAAAAAGAAAAGAAAACCGTATGAGCTATCACTTTACTTTCACTAGGATGGCTACCGTTAATAAAACAGAAAATAACAGGTGTTGGTGGTGATGGGGAGAAATTGGAATACTTGTACACTCTTGGTGGGTTTATAAATGGTGCAGCTACTGTGGAAAACTATGGAGAGTCCTCAATAAATTAGAAATAAAATTACTGTGTGATCCAGAAATCTCACTTCTGTGTCAAAAGAAGTAGAGAAATATTTGCACACCTATGTTCATAGCAATGCCATACTTTAGATGTAGAAGCAACCCAAATGTCTATTGATAAACCAAATATGATATATATGTATATATAATGAAATATTTAGCTCTGAATAGGAAGGAAGTAGTAATTCATGCTACAACATGTGTAAACTTTGAAAAGTTATGCTAAGAAAATTGAGCCAATCACAAAAAGGTAAATTCTCTGTGATTCCACTTATGTAAGGTATATATAGTAGTTAAATTCATAGAAACAGAATGTGGAATGGTGGTTGTCCAGGGCTGAAGGGAAGGAGAAAAGAGGAGTTGTTCTTTAATAGCCTAGATTTTCAGATTCACAAAAAGAAAAAGTTTGAGAGATCTGTTCCACAACAATGTGAACATATTTAAACTACTAAACTGTATACTGTACTTAAATGTGGTTAAGATAAGCCAGGTGTGCTGGTACACGCTTGTAATCCCAGAATTCCATTCTACTAGGCAAAGGCAAGAGAATTCCAATTAGAACTCAGTCTGGGCAACTTAGTTACTCAGTGACACCATGCCTCAAAAAAAAAAAAAAAAAAATTAAAAAATATATATACACATATAGGGTTGGGGATGTAGCTTTTTTTTTTTTTTTTTTAAGGCAGGGTCTCTGTTTTTTCTACAGATATAAATACCTGGAAAGGATCAAGACTCAAAATCCAACGTTATAAAATACAAGAAGTTTTTTTTTTTTTTTTTTTTGGTCTTTTTGAGACAGGGTCTCGCTATGCAGTTCAGGCTGATCTTGAGCTCACTTTGTGGCCCAAACTGGCCTGGAACTGGCAATGATCCTCCTGCCTCAGCCTCCAGAGTACTGGGATTACAGGCATGCACCGCCACACCCGGCATAAAATACAAAACTGTTTACAGTCCTATGCAGGACTATCAAATTTATTGCACATGTAGTTTTTCTTTGCTTATTCGTAATTCTGCCTTTTATTTTCCAATAATTATAAATCCTTTGAGAGTATAAATTTTACATTCAGTCTAACCTACAAAGCCTAGCCCAACATATTAAACTAATAGTGTTCAATATATACATGCTAAATTGAGAGAATGAATGACTAATACTGGTATTTTATGTATTGGGTTGTCAGGTAAATTATAGAATGCCAAGTAAAATTTAAATTTCAAATTTTGCATTAAAATATAATCAGCATACTATTTTTATTTGCTAAATCTGGCAGTTCTGAGTAAACTTTAACTAGAAATCAGATTTTATAGCCTTATACACAGGCTAAAGCTTTCTTGTGTTAGCAGTGAGACTAACTAGAAAAGACTTTAGAATCAAACACTCTGAACTCTCATATGCTCGACAGAGAAACTGAACTATAAAATATGATGAACATAATATCTGATTTTTATAGGGAGGATAAAGAAAAGTACTTACTGCTGGGTGTGGTGGCACACGGCTGTAATCCCAGCACTTGGGAGGCTGAGGCAGGAAGATCGTTGCGAGTTTGAGACCAGCCTGGCCTACAAAGTGAGCTCAAGGCCAGCCTGAACTGCATAGCAAGACCTTGTCTCAAAAAGACAAAAAAAGAAAAGAAAAGAAAAGAAAAGTACTTACTATAATACTTTGTAGAATCTTGGACAGGTGCCAAGGAGGATGTTATCATGCCTTTTTATGTTTCTGAAATGAGATACCCTCTGCAAGTAAAATAAAATTGAATTATATTCAACTTTCTTTCAAGTTTGTTTAGATATTGGCTCAGGAGTGTGAAGGATTGTGGAAAGATTTGAAAAAGGGAGAAACAATTGGCAACTGTTCTGCCTAGAAAATTAAAGGCTTACACCTTTTAGAGCTTTTGTAACCTTAATTTTGAGTGGAAATATTTAAAAATTTCCAGAGCAAAAGTTCACATACTTTGTTTTTTTAAAGTGACATGGGTCCATTCTGGAGGCTGAGGCAAGAGGGCTACAAGTTCAAGCCCAGATTTAGCAATTTAGCTAGTCCATCTCAAAATTAAAAATAAAAAGGGCTGGGAATGCAGCTCAGCATGAAGGCCCTGGATTCAGTCCCTAATACTGCAACAAAAGAGAAAGGAGGAGGAGGGAGAGGAAGAGGAGAAGGAAACAGAAGAAGGACAGGAGGGTGAGGAGAGAGGGGGAGGAGTAAGAAGAGGGATAAAAAAGAGAAAGAGAGACTCTCACTATATTGTCCTGGCTGGTCTCAAATTCCTGGGCTCAGGTGATCTTCCTGCCTCAGCCTCCCAAGTAGCTAGGACTATAGACATAAGCCACTGTACCTGTATCGGCCTATACTTTTTTAAAAAGCACAACAGAATATGGATATCACCTCACCACTACCTACTGCAATAGGACAGTAGGTTCTTTCTTTCTTTCTTTCTTTCTTTCTTCCTTTTTTTTTTTTTTTTTTTTTGGTACTGGGAATTGAGCTCAAGTTGTGTCATGTACAGGTACAAATTCCCTATGATGAATGTTATCATTATGTATACCTAAAATGTGCCAATCGACATAATTAATTAAAAAAATGAAATAAAAGCTTCAGAATAATTTTGTTCCCAGAATAATTTCACTCCCAGAAAAAACAGAAAAGGTTTTTACATATAGTTTGAGTGATTGAAACAGTAGACTACTCTGACTGAGTAATTTTTGATCAGTATAATGACAAACAAAATTATTGTTTCAGTACTGGGGATAGACCCCAGGGTCTTGCACATGTGTTCTACCACACAGCTATCTCCAGCCCATGTTACTGTCTTTGATACAGAAAGAAACAGGGTCTTGGTTTAGCTCAGGACATAAAACTTATGGAATGGCCATTTCATTCATAGCTTGTGACACTAGCATTTTAGAAATTGAAATATTTTCTGATTGAGTTACCTGAAGAACTCCCTACCACGAGCTAAAATGTCAACTTTACTTGTTTACTTGAAAAAAATTGTTAAATGTAAATAAATAGAAATGCCCTCACAAAGTTTGGCTTTTTATTTTTTTTAATCTTTTTTATTTTAAAAATTAAAAAAACTGACAAAACAACAAGGAAGACAAAAACAAAACAACACAAAAACAACAAAAATGAAACATGACCTCAAGACAATGTGATAGAAATTTACAGTGGTTGCTATATTACATACTGTTATCTTCAACAAAGTTGCTCAGTCCGTTAGACATAAGAATGTAAGACTGATCAAACAAAGACAGTAACAAGTAAAAAACAATAAAAATAATTAAAGAAAAAACATTGGAAATGATGTAGAACTTCACCATACAAAATGGTGGGAGTTATTTGACAGTGTCTTGCTATAGTTCAGGTTGGCCTTGAACTCATGGCAATCCTCCTGCCTCAGGCTCCTGAGTGCTGGGAGTACAGGTGTGTGCTACCATGCCCCAAAATTTGGCTTTTTAAAACAATTTTAAATTAGGAACACATGTCTGAAGTTTAAAATCATTTTATTCTGTAGATATCTACAAATAACTTTATATTTATTTGAGGCTTTATTCTTTTTGTTGTTGTTCTTGTTTTTATTTTTTCTGGTACGGGGAATTGAACTCACCACCTCGCACTTGCTAGGCAGGTGCTGTGCTCCTGAGCTAAATCCCCAGCCCCTATTTTGTTTGTTTTTTGAGACAGGATCTTTCTATGTAGTTCAGGCAGGCCTTGAGCTCACTATGTAGCCCAGACAGGCCTCAAACTCGCATCAGTCCTCCTGAGTGCTGGGATTACAGGTGTACACCACCACACCCAGTGTGTTTTTATTCTTATTGCATCCATTAATTTGAAAAGTAAAGATTACAAATTTCTCTTTGAGATTCTTAAAAAATTTTTTTATTTTAAGAAATAAAAAGAAAACATACTAACAAACAGACATCCATTTATAAAGTAGCATAAGAACAATACAAACAAAACAGAGTTACAGACAAAGTTGTAGGAAATTAACAATGGTTGTTGTATTACTTATTGATATCTACAAAGTGGTTTCTCAAGAAAACAAATAGAGACATACAAGATTGATCAAACAAGTAATCATTAACTGTTCCTTTCTGTAGAGCAATAGAAGACAGTAGTACAACTATGTTAGCTAGCCTATATATATATATTTACATAATTTCCCCTTCCTTCCCTTCTCTTTCCTCACATTCCAGTTGCCCTATACTTTTGAGCATTTTCCTTTCATGTCACAATGTCTATCATAACTCCTAGTTTTTATTCACTCTTTCAAGTCTTACACTGGTGAGACAATACGATTTTTACACAGGCAGGTCTGATTTATTTCACTTATGAGTATGGTCTCTAGTTGTGAGGGGGTTATTGGATAGACGTGTCTCTTCTGGTGTACATATGGTGAGTAAGCCATGAAAAGATGCTCAACATCATTACTCATTAGGGGTCTACAAACCAAAACCTCAATAAGATATGATTAAAGAATACTAGAATGGGACCAGGAATATAGCTCAGTGGCA